AGTTGTCTTGTTGTTGGCTCAACAGTGCGGTGTACATCTGCTTCTGCTGACTCAACATCTCTGTTACTTGCGCCGCTGAAATATAATCCTCTTCTGCCTCAACATCCTTGTTCGCTTCTGATTTATTAGCTCTTTTCCCTCTTGGAGGCATTTTAATAGTTGTAGAATTTGTTCAAAGAAAATGTACAAGATGTGAAAAATCGTAGAACAGACAGGAGCAGTAAATGTCTGCTCTCCCTTGCAACCCGGAAGAGCCTTTGAATGTTGACTAGATGTTGAATAATAAAACTGATTATATATACACACATTTCAGAAATGCATATTTAATCCTAAAAAGTTCACAGCAATGAGACAATAATTATTAACACAGAAAATGCAAACATGAGATTTCTCAGAAGGTACTATGTTTATATACAAATATTCACTGATAACTAAAAACTTGCAATAATTTGCCCCTGAGGTATAAGCACATAATGCAGCTACCTGACACAACTGCAGGAAGCTGTGTCTCTACCTCCCGGTCACTACCTGATACCTGCTGTTCCTCTCACTCTCTGCTCTGACTCAGTGTCTACAGCTGGCCTCAGGCCTTAATGCTCTCCTCTGAAACCACCTCTAAGCCCACTGCTACTGTTGATCTCTGTCCTTTGGAGGTAACTGACTGACACTGTTGCCTATAGTCATTCTGTTGTTATTCCAGCTCCTCTACCCTGAGTTGTCAAAGTATGGTCCATACATAAGTAGCATCGGGTGGCCCCGATTGCCACCTAGCTAAGGTCATAAGATGTGTTTTTTGAACTGCAAGTAGTAGTCATGTAGGAGCTCCAGACTGAAGAGGTCTCAGTCTTTTGCGTAGAGAGAGTGGGGCAAAGAAAGAACAAAAGCCAGGGTTAATGTTAGTTTGGCCTGAATGAGATGGAGAGGGTTAAAGCAGCCAAAGGGCTCAGATTTGATTCAGATGTTGTGTGCTTCATTCTGGATGTGAGCCAGACTGTAGGTAGCTGTACAGGCAGGCGTGCAGTCAGTCATGGCTTCTATAGCAATGCGCCGGACACTGGCTGCTCATCTGCTTCTACTGTTCAACCAAGTGTGTTTCTTGTGGTTTCAGATGTCAGCTACCAGTGTGTATGTTTGCAGCTGTAGAGTTTTGGCTCTATAGGCGATGCAGGACAATACAGACCTGTGAACATGCTAATGCAGACTAAATGGTTATCACTTTTTGGGAGCCCCCGGTCTCTGCAGACATTACACTACAAAGAAGGCATGGTAGCATGCTAATGTAACTAATTAACCTCTAGAGTCCCTGCGTCCTCATATGAGGACCGCACAGCTTGGGTTTCCAAAGCTCAGGACTCTAGAGGTTATAGATGCAGGCATATTGTCTCTTCAAGCTTATTATACCCCAGTTTGTTTACTGGACAGATCTGAGTAAGGAAGGAGTCCGTCTTTCTTGATTTTAGTGCTGGTTTATTTACAAATATACAGGATTACAGAACACAACCCAGGGCTCCCTCCTTCAGACAAGCTGCTGGAGAAGAGAGCAGGGAAAAAAGCACACGGAAACACAGAGCCTAATACATTTATCAGTTTTGGGCTAACCCCTTACACAGATGAAGTTCGTCCAGCAGACTCCATCTCTTATCTAGAGCTCCACATGCTTGGAGCAGCTGCATATTACCTAGTCATAACAAAATGAAGTACTCCATGTGTGTGTATGTTGTATGAGTGATGTGTAACTATAACATTCATTCAGACATAATTCTTACACAAAATTAATACAAGAAAACAACTGGTGTCAAGGTACACTTTTCAGAATCAACATTATCTTCTAACCTTGAAGCACAGCACACAGGAGCAGACTTTGAATCTTACTAAACTGCATTACTAACACACATTAAAGTCTAA